TGGTTCCACCACCTGCCTCGCAAGCGCAAGGACCCGAGTTCAATCCCCGGTACCAAAAAAAAAAAAAAAAGAAAGAAAGAAAGAAAGAGGACCAGGGATTTAGCTCAGTGGCACTACGCCTGCCTCATAGTTGTAAGGTCCTGAGTTCAATTCCCTGTACAAAAAAAAGTAAAAATGCTGAGAATAATTGTTAAACTATATGATAAATTAGTAAAGAAACACTGAAAATAGAATTTGGCTATTTATACTAATATTTAATGTTATCCAATACTGAAATGTCTCATTTTACAATTTTGTAATATAGTTAGCTTTTATGCTATAAATAATTTTATTGTATATTCATCTTATACATACAATAAAAATGTCCTCAACTTCAGGAATTTGTGCTAATGGCAAAGTAAAAGCCCAACATTTGAAGGGAAAAAGCATCTCAAGTTATACAAAAAGGGAAAACATCCTGCTGTGTTTTCAGATAGATTTTAGGTGACAAACTGCCAAGGTGAGACTTTTTACTATTTTATTCTGACTTATCACAGAAAGGGAAAGAAGATGATGAAAAAAATTCACTGCAAGCTAAAATCTTCACAGGTTTTGAATAAAAAAGAAAGAAATCATTACTTAAGAAGCTTGAAATCAAAAATATAACGATGGCTAAAATGTACTTAGATCACTTTAAACTACAATTTTGTGAGGTTTCTTAAATTCTTGGCTAGCCTCAATATTAGAAACATGTTTCCACTAAAGTTTATTTTATGCTTTTATTTTTCTTTGAGCAGAGGCATTAATCCTGTTCTTTCATCCCCCATTATACCTGGAAAAGAAGAGAACAGGCAATATTGCACAGTCTCTTTGACAGAGTTACAAGTCACCAGAGCACTAGTAGGAATCATACTCACATCACGGCCTTCAGAAAAATCAAAGGGTAGAAAATAAAATGCCATTTTCCACTTTAAGATAAGATTTAATACTGTGGGACAAATGAACCCTCTCACGGAAAACAACTAAAAAAGCCAGAGAAAATATTTTTCAAAGCCACTTGAAGACATTAGGATGTTGTCATGACAACCAGAGTCCAAGGGATCAGTAAGTCAGAGGAAGAGAACTTCAAAGAGGTAAGCAGATAATCTTTAAGTTATTTTTCACCTTGGGACATTTGATGATTCTTTATACAGGACTACAGGCTGAAAATCCAGGCAGAAGACCTTAACAAATATGCAAAGAAATAAGAAAACTTTTAGAAAATTCACATGACTATAGTCATACAATCTTTCAAGGTAGCTGGGACTTAAGGAGCCAAAATTCTGGAGAGAGAGAGGGGGAAAGGAATGTGAGACCAACACTTGATAGTTACCTTAGAAATATTTGCATATTTTGCTGGAGATTTATCTCTATCTATCTATCTATCTAATCTATCTATCTATCTATATATATAGTACCAAAGTTTGTTTAATTCATAATTTATCTATTCATCAATTGAAGGACATTTTTAATTCTAGTTTTTGGTGATTAACCAATAAAGCAACTATAAAAATTTTTAAAAAGAAATATTTGCAAATTTTAAGCTTCACAAATCACAGAATACAAAGTGCAGTGGGAGGTTAGTGAAGAGCAGAGTAACATTTTTGGAAGTCTCAGTGCTGAGCAATCAAAATTGGATATTATGATATTTAAAGGATAAGGGGTCCAAATAAACAGTTGGGACTCATGTTCTCAAACAGGACCCCTGGGTAGCTATGCCCTGGGAACTGGTTATACCAAGTGAAGTAGGACAAGTTTTATACAACTAACAATCATTTCAATCATAATTGCCTTACAACATTAAGGAAAAACATCTGGGATCATATAAGTACAGTCCCAGGCTGGTGGTGGTTCGACTTAAAATATTTTGATTTTACAAGGGTACAAAGTAATGTAGTAGAAGCTGTTCTTTGAGTTTTTATCTTCTCCCTGTGCTGGCATGCCTTGTATTAGGCTCTGGCTAAGGACAATGAGCATCACAGCTCTCAGTCCAATTTGAGAGGACTGCTGGCCTTTTTGGGGTGTTGTGATTTGTGTTTTTGCATCCCAGCATGTCTACAAAATACTCATCTTTCTGTGCACATAAGATATTTGATACTTTATTATAAATAGCCTTTGTATTAGTTGATTTTTTCATCAGTGGACTAGTGTAAATTTTTTGACCATATGTAAGGTAAACTAGGGCAAGGTATGAGGTTTGATCGACACACATTTTTCATTTACAATATTTTCAAGTTATGTTGGGTTTCCTGGGGCATAACACATTCATAAGGCAAGGAACATATGCATTTATTATACAAAATAACAATAGTAATGTAAAGCCAAAGTGTAAAATACGCACAGAATTAAAGTGCATAACAAAAAAGCATAAAAGTTTACACACCATAAATACTACCGGTGTTTTATAATTCTTGCCTTGTTTGGAAAGTAATAAAACTACTGGTTTATTTGAGACCATAAAAGGTTAGGGAACTTTTTGTAATCTTAACAGTAACCATAAAAAATAATAAAAATGTAGAACTAAAAATTAATAGGGGGAAAATGAATATTAAAATACCAGATTAATCAAGAGAAGAGGGGAAAAGTCAGATATGGAACATAACCCACTGAGATGTAGAAAATAGTTAAATGGTGGACATAAATATGATTGTGACAGCAATTATATCCAATGTAAGTGAGCTAAATATTCTAATTAAAAGGCAAACATTGTTGGAATAATAACAAAATCAAACTTTATCTAGTTTATGAGAGATAAAATATAAGGACATTGAAAAGCTGAAAATCAAATGACAGAAAAGAGTATCATGCAAACACTAAGCAAAATGTAAAAGTTTTTTGCTATAACATCACACAAAGTAAATTTTATGGCTAGTAGACTACACAGGAGGAAGACAAAGGGGGGTTTATATTGGAAACTCAAAGCTCAATGATTATTATGAAATATATGAGTATTTAAATATATTTTCCCATGTTAAAACAGTAATATAGAAAATGTCCAATGCCCATTGTGAAAAATTTTTCCAAAAACTTGGACTTAAGATATATTACAGTACTAAATGTAGAAGTCAAAACCATACAGCTCTAAGACAAATGGAGCAATGTTTATCACCCAAGAGGGAGCAGGAGAATATTTTCAACACTGAACATAAAAAGAAATGACTACAAAGGAAAATCTAATAAATTACATTATATGAAAATTAGAAACTCTTTCATTAAAAGATAACATTAAGAAAATGAAAAATAAAGCCAGACTGACAAAAGTATATGTAATACATGTATCTAACAAATACTCATATCCAAATTATAAAGTAAATAATAAAAGTGAATGAAAACAAAAAATGAGTGAGAATTTGTATAGGCATTTGACAACAGACAGCATATAAATGGCCAATAAGAACATGAAGAGATTCTCAAGATCATTAGTTATCAGGAAAGTCCAAATAAAAAGAATAATTAAATATCTCTACACACTCGTTAGAATGGCTAAATGTAAAAGACTGTCAACACTCAATGGGTCTTATATATTCTTGATAGAATATCAAATGGCAAAACCATTGTGGAAATCTGTTTGGTAGTTTCTTATAAGTTACATACATACCTGCTTTATCATCCAGCAATTTCATTCAGAGGTATGTACCATATGAAATAAAAATATAGGTCCTTAAAAATTTACATATTTAAGTTGACTATAGTTTTATTTGTCATGGTGAGTTAGAAACAATCTATATATTATCAAAAGAAGAACAAAATTTTATATTTATACAATGGAACCCTCACTCAGCAATTAAAGGAAATCAAGTACAGTGGTTCCTTGGTTCATGAACTTAATTTGTTTTACGATTCTGAAAAAGATGTCCAACTTTGTGTTCATGAGGGTAAGATGGTTGCAGTCATGTTCATCACTCAATGGAGAGTTTGCAAACAAAAACAAAATTTTGCCAAAGACTTCTGTTTCCAGACCGAATTGTTTTCAAACAAAAGCATTCATGGACCAAGGTACCACCGTACTGTCTGCAAGAACACAGATGCACACAGAAGAGATGAATGAGAGAATATTTAGTATATGATTTCATGTTTATGGAGTTGAAGAATGAGCAAGATTAGTAAATGTGGTAGATATCAGAACAGTGCTTCTCTGTTTCTCTTGAGTGGGAGAACAGCATAGGTTAGAAAGGGATACTAGAAAACTTTTTAGGGTGATGGCAGCACTCAAAGTCTTGATTGTATGTTGGTTATGTGAGTATTTTACACATTTGTGCAAAATCTATCAAACTATCATTACTATCTATGCATATTAATGATGTATTTTTGCCTCAATGAAAAAGGATATTAAATGAACAAATAAAAAGAATTGGAGAAAAAGTGTAAATGTGTAGTCAAGCTAACTTGAAACAGAGAGAGAGAGAAAGGCAGAGTGCAGTGGTACCTTAGGTCATAAATGCTTTTGTTTGCAAAGAATTTGGTTTACAAAGAGAAGTGTTTGGCAAGTTTTTGTTTTTGTTTGTGAATTCTTGCATCCGGTGACAAACAGGACTGTGGCCATCTTTCCCACATGAACACAATCGTGGCCATCTTTTCAAGAATCGTGGAATGAATTAAGTCCATGAACCGAGGTACTACTGTATTTTGGATGTTTAGGAAAAAGCAATGAGTATTTTATAAGGGGAAGTAGTTTATTTTCAGAATTTTGGACAACAAAGCTTTATACTAAATTTGATTGAAATAACATGTTGAAGATACTTAAAAATGTGCATACTGAATTATTTCTAGTAAAATTAACTTTTAAAGTAGAGCTCACAGAAAAAATGTTGTCAACAAGCAAAAATGATGTGAATTTTATTCCCATGAGCTTTTCCTGAGAAAGACACAAGTATTCTTGAACAAGCTTATAGGCTTCAGACTACTGAAATTACTATGGAGATACCATCATAAGGATCAGAGGTGAGTGTTATGCACATTTTTAATTGTAGAACTAAGACTCAATAAGGATTCAAAGAGAAACTATAGCATCAATGATTATGTAGATAATATAAATATAGTGAAACTAAAACAGGGAGATGGGAAGATCTTGTGCAAATATTTTAACTCTCCTCAGTAATGAGCTAGTAGTGGTAGTGGTAGTAGGGGTTATCTAGATCAATTCTGTGGCTATTGTGGAATGATATAAATGTACACTTATGAAATGTTCTGATTCTTTCATCTCCTGTTTTCTTGGAAACTTGGATTCTCACTGTAGGAGAAAGAAAATATACATGCAGTAAGTAATAATGCATGACCTCTCCATGAACTTCTAGATCAGAAAGGCTGAGAACAGAAATAATCTGTAGGCTATTGGACATTAATTTTGACTTGTATCTTAAAACCTTCTACTACATAATTCTCTGTTTTAGGACAATAAGATGTCATATAAATAGAGCATGTTGATAAGTAGAGTGTGTTGAGAACAATGTAGGTATTGTGGTCTCCACTGTACAGATAAAGTTATATTCTGTGAAGAAAAAAAAAGTAAATGAGTAAAATGTGATGTGTTTCCTTGGGCCACACAGAGCATCAGTCCTGAAGAAAAGCCTGTCCGAGCCAGCTGGGATCTGTTTCTCAGGGTTCCCACCACCCACCTCCTTCCCACCACTCACCTCCCAGACCAATGCCAAGTGCAGGGCTTTTATTTCCTGGTCAATAAACTGCTACATCACCCAGGGAAAGATTTATATTGAATTCCAGCGTCATTCGCAACAGAAATAATCTACAGGAATGAGAATACTATAACCTATATGGATGGACCTATGAAGGGAGACATTCAATCACGGGGAATCAGAAGAAGGAGGTAGGAGACTTTGAAGTTCAATAGGAAAGTATTTAATCGTGTCTTAGTTACTTTTCTCATTGCTGAGACAACATACCCAACACCCAGTGTCAGAGGAAGAAAGGTTTACTTCAGATCACAGTTTTTAGAGGTTTCAGTCCATAGGCGGCTGGCTCCACAGCAGGGTGGCATGGCCGAGGTGGATCATAAAGCAGCAACACACAAGCAGCAGCAGCAGCAGCCAGCAAGCCTGCTTTCCCTCTTTCTCTTATATTCCATAAAGAATGTAAGCCTATTGATTGGTGCCACACACACCCAAGGTGGGGCATCCATTAATCCCGGTATCACACCATTAACCCACATTCACACACCCTAATCCAGCCACCTTCGAAACTCCCCACCTATGACCCCGTGAGGATTTGGGGGGACATTTAGATACAAGTCACAACATTCAGCCCTGGCTCCCAAAAGACTCATGTGCATCTATTTATGCAAAAGGCATTTAATCCATCTCTAAGAGTTGTCAAAGCCCTAAGTTTCAGCATTGCTGAAAAGTCAAATTACAAAATTCCTCTGAGATTTAAGGCAAACTCTTAGCTGTGGGTCCCTGTACAAATGAAAAGAAAGTTCCAAGCCCAGTGTCCAGGGCAATCTGTGGCAAGATGTGAACTCCAAAGGGCTTGGCTGGCTCCGCCCGGATGGCATTGTTGGTGTTTGCAGCTGCCGTGGCTTCGCTCTTGGGCTGGCTTTGCTCACTCCTTGCAGCTTCCCTCATACAATCCACCTTCTTGGCTTCTCCAACCTTTTGGGGTCTCCACTGCACTTTTGGCTTCACACACTGCCCTCTTAGGGCACATTGCCTGCCTCCTAGGCCTCCTTCTGAAATCTGGGTGGAAGCCTTTCTGACCCCACAACTCTTGGATTCTGCATGCACCTAAAACCAGCACCATGTGGATGATGCCAAAGTCTGAAACACAAACTGAACTCATCACAAAGCACGTTGCTTGGTTACTTGAGTGACTTTCCATTGTGCTGAGAATGAGATCCAAGCTCTTAAAGCCTTTAGCGTGGCCTTGCATGATCTGATTCTAGCAGACCCGCACAGTCTCATCCCATCATGCTTTCCATCTTCTGCTCTGCTCCAGGCATCGTGGAATTGTCTCAGTCCTTTCAACCATCAGTGATTTTTTTTGTTTGATTTTGTTTTTTATGCTTGTAGTCTTTTCATTCTAACTTCTTGACCAGCCCTCTATTTTCTTATGTATTCCCTTCTCCTTCCTCAGAAGTTTCAGTTTAGACCGTATTTCCTGGAAACACTTCCAGCATTCTTGGCCCAGTTAGAGACTTCTGATGACATTTCTGTAACACCTTGCATTTCTCCTTAGAAACATTCACCAAACTTGTAATTAATTCAGCAATATGTGGTCTCCTGGCTGGATTTCAATTGCCACCAATGCAGGGGCCAGCTCTGTCTTGTTCACCATTATATTCCCTGCACTCTTGCTAGTCCCTGGCACATGCTGGGTGCTCGAAAATCTTTTTTTTTTTTTTTTTTTTTAGTGAATCAGTCATCACTGTTTGTCTTCTGGATCATAAAACATGTGCCTTGGGCCTTGAAGACATTTTAAACATCAGAGCAAAAGTGATGTTATACCAGGGTCAGTCCTGGAATTACTTCTGACTTTACCCATTTGGAGCTAACAGATATTCCCCATAGAAAAATACTACCATCCCTACTACTGCTATGGTTTGGACTTTGTCCTCCCAAAGTTCACATGCTGGAAGCTTAGTCCCCGGGATGGCAGTGGAAGAGGCAGCAGAATCTTTAAGAGGTAGGACCAATAGGCATCTTTAGGTCATTGGAGGAACTGCCTTAGGATTAATACTGGTCAATGGAATGAATTAGTTCACTTCAGGGTGGGTTGTTCCAAGCCAGACCGACCCATGCTCTTGGCCATTCTACACACAGCTGGCTCCCTTTCCATTTTTCTGATATGTTGTGACACAGCCAAGTGGGCCTTAACCAGAGGTCAAACAGATGGGGCCACCCAGGCTTGGACTTTTGGCTTTCAGAACTGTGAGTTGAATAAACATGTTTTCTTTATAAAGGCCCAGCTTTAGGTATTTTATTACGGGAACAGAAAATTGTCTAATACATCTTTTGCAAGCTATTTTTTGCATTTCCTAATATGCTGGTTTCTTTCCTGTCTCCTCATCTTCTCCTTACAGAGTTCTCTGTTAAGCATACCCTCCTGTACCTTCCCTACTTAACCCCATCTCTCCAACTAACCTCCTCTTTGGGATAGCTAATTCTGATTTAATTAAAGATACCTAAGTTATAGGCCAATAATAAAAATATACTGCTAATATTGCTTAATAGAGTAGCAAAAGAAAACCAGCAGATTTTCATCAAATTTACTCCCCAAAATGTGTCTGTAGTCCCAACATCATCCATAGATTTTCTTTACTCTTCTTTCCCAGATTTCAAGGTTGACATTGGAGGCCCTGCAAGTGCATTCTGAGCATTCTCTACTTCCCTTGTCATGGGACAAGACCTTCACCTCATTCCCCATCATTGCTGGCTTCTGGTTGCCGTTTCTCCACTCCACTCCATTCCACTCCACTCCACCAGAAGCTCTGTGAGGTCACAGACCATGCTATGTTCTTCACCAATAAACTGTTCTCAGTTCGTAAAGCAGTAATGCATGCGCACACGTGTATATATGTGTATATAATAAACGTGTATATAAAACGAAGTACTGAATTATAAACAACTTACTGATACAACTATTGCCTGCAAGAAGACACTGACAGGACCAACAGTTAAGGTCACGGAGCTGGTTGCTAACAACCTTCATCCTGTTTCCCATACCCTGGCACCATGATTATCATTTCTTTCAATGTAGGTCTACATAAATTTTCACTACTAATACTTTTCCTACCCCATATCCATCTAAGTGAAATCAAATGAGCAGTACCAAGTTTAATCAAGTGGAAAATTTTATCAATTCTCACAATCTTTGAGAGCATTTTTTAGGTGCAAGATAACTGAATATATATTTTTACAACTGAAAAATCAGGAAAAGGAGAGTGTTTCTTCCTATTATTAATTTCTTCTAAACAATTAATTCTTGGTATTATAAGCAGCATCACCTAGGAACTTGGCCTAGTTTTGTTAGCAGCTGATTCCTCACAGATCTTGGCGATAATTTGCATGTAGAAGGTATTACTGGGTTGCCTTTAGTTATAAGAGGTTGCCAATGTCCCTTTCAAATAAAGTGAGAGTACAGACACATTTTGGGATGTGAATTTGATGAAATATTTGCTGACTTTCTTTTTCTATCCTATTAAACAATATTAGCAATAAATTTTTATTGTTGGTAAGTAACTTAGGTATACTTAGTTAAATGAGAAGACAGTATCCTAATGATTTGTTTTTCTTATAAAGCAAAGCAAGACAAAACTTTCTTCCCTTTTCTTTCTTTATCCTAAAGCTACTGAGAAGCATCTTATGGCCAGGACTCTACATAATAAAGTAGCAAAGGTAAGGTATAGTTTTTAAATTGAGTTGGCTGACTTCTCACACTGTCATACTAAATGCTGTGTCCGTGCTGCAGAATTTTCTTTCCTCTTCACCGCCAATGTTCCTCTGTGTTAGGCAGAGGGAATTGAATCAGTCTCTTTGAGTTACTGTACCTAAGACAACAACTGTACCAGAAGTACTGGGATGGTTATCCTTAGACTAATTGCAAAGGCCTGAGGAATGGAGGAAGAAGATCCGGGAGAAGATGAAGAAGGCCTGCAGGGAGACAAGAGTCAAGGTGGAGGCCTGGAGTCTTTCTAATCAAGAGCTTGGTCCTCTGTGTAGCTTAGAACTATTCTGAACCCTGTCACGTGAGCTACCTGATAGCCTTCCTTACCAGTTTTTAAAATTAAATACACCATCTCCTTGTGCTTAGGGTATCTTAAATTACTGTTTATAGCTTACATCCTGAGTTCTAATTAGCAAGCCTATCAGTTTCTGTCTTCATGATCTAAAGCTTCCAAATCCACTGGTGCTTTATTCTTCATTCTGCAAACCATCAATATATTTGCTCTTGGACCAGTTTTACAAACACAACTCATACAACCTGCTCCCCTTGTGAGTAGATAACACTTTATGCTGGATGCTAAGGTGAACAGATGGTGGAATGCAAATGACCTCATCTTTCCTTAGCTGGGGCCAAGCATGTGTCAAAAGGGCATCATTCCTCACAAATGTCTCACCCTGAGGAATACTCACCTGCCTCCACTCCCAGCAGATATGCAGCTTCACCCTCAACATGAATATGACGAGCTGGAGGTGACTATGCATAGCCTCCAATTCTAGCACTCTCTTTACTGAAAGGTGTAATGAAGAGTTTTATGTTAGTATATGAACTTCATTTGTAATGTCACTAGATAATATTTTCTACTGTACTACGCTATGCTTATTTAAATTTTCTCATTTGATCCCACTAACAACCCTGTAAGTAAAATTATTGTTCAAGTTTTATAAGTAAATTCATAGAAATTAAACAATTTGCCAAAGGACCAGTAGCATGAGAAAAAGCAAGAAACAACTCAATAAACGTTGACTATAGACTAAATGTTACATCTTCCCCAAATTATTATATTAAAGTCCTATCCTAATGTACTATTAGGAGGTGGACTTTTGTGGGGGTAATTAGGTCATTAGGGTGGAGTTCTCAAAAATGGAATCAGTACACATATAGAAATACCAGTTAGAGCTTAGTTCCCCTCTGTTTGCCCTGTATTGCATGAGGATATGGGAAAATGACCATCTTAGAACCAGCAAGAGGGCTCTCACTGGAATTTTGCTTTTACTCTATCTCCTCTGTCTCTGGATACTATCCTGGTATTCCATGACAAGAACTTCAGTAAGTGTCGGTCATACAAGTTTATTTGAATTTGAAAAAAAAAGGGTGAGTTCTATTCAAAATGTATTCTGTTCTTTTTGAAGTTGCAACAAAATCTGTGCCTATGGTCTGAGTCTAGGACCTGAAAACATAAAATATCAGTATTAAAAGTAAATATTTCTGTGTCATTTGTAGATTGAGTGTGATCTTTACAGGAGAAAAAATACAAGGAAATGATGAGGGGAGCAAATTCGTTACCCTTGGTCGGGGGGAGCTGTGTCCATCCTCATTATCCTAAGGCCATTTTCCCTTTTCCTGCCTGGGGAGCCCATGGCTTCTCCTGGTGACCTCTCACAGCAGCATCTTCCTTCATGCTACTTACTTAGAAGACTGGCTTAATCCTAAATTATGCCTAAGGTGCCTTTATGTGATGGTAAAGTGTTTCATCTTTCAGGCAGTAAAGGCATTTTGGCCTGGGTTTTCAGATGGAGCAAAGCTTTACCTTAAACAGAATATTCTTATGCTGACAGCCTTGGGCACCATGACCAAATGGCCATCAGAGAGAGATCCATGGATTTCTAGCACTTTCTAGCACAGAGGAACAAATATACCTCCTTTATCCCCACTGAGCCTGCCTCTAGACACATAATACCTTCTTTCTTGTACAAACAACCTCTCCTTACAGATTGCAAATCCTCCAGATCACCACACCCTATTTTCTAGGCTTGTCCTCCTTTATCCCTTCTCAAATCTTACAATCAATGTTTACAAGTCCAGACACCAGGGATAAAATCAGCAGCAGGGGTTTTATTATAGTCTTTCTAAGTTCCTAGTCTGAGTTTTTTCATCCTTTTGCAATGTTAAGCCTTACATATAAAGCTGAGAGAACTGATGTCAAACACACATGTTCCGTGATCGTCAGAGTTGGTATGTCATTGTCACAGTTGTCAGCTGATGTCAAATGGCTCTATTACAATAGCACATTTCTGAGCCAGGCTTCTGGCATTAACTACCTGATCTTTCTTTTATGTTTTCAATTGTTCTTTCTCTGTTGCCTCCTTTCTCAGACGCTACAAACTTCCTTGAAGTTCTCTTTTACTGTACCTTTTCTTCCTTCTTCTCCAGTCATCTCAATTACTGTCTGCACAACTTCCTTTACTTCTATACTCATCAACTTACTGCAGTGTAGTGTTCACCAGTACCATACCACTGAAACTTCTCAAGGTTAACCAGAAAGTCTCTTATCTTTGGGATTCTAAAGATGGATCTCAGGTTCTAACCTATCGAAGCTATATGTTGTGGGATGAATGTCTGTGACCTCCTACTCATATGTTGAAGATTCCAGCCCCAGTGAGATCATATTTGGAAGTGGGGCTATTGAACGTGTAATTAGGCTTAGATGGGGTTCTAAGCATAGGATGGTTTAGAGCCCTTAAAAGAAGAGTGAACACATTTCCCTTTGTCCCTCTGCCACTCTGAGAGAACTGTCCTCAGGAATACACTTGGCTGCCCTCCTGCTGTCGGCCTCACAAACTCTGAGAAGATAAATCTCTATTATTGAAGCCACTGATCAGTGGTATTTTGCTATAGCAATCCAGAAAAGACTAAGACCTAGTCTCTTCCTTGATTTCCATGAAAATGTGTCTTCCTGTTGCCCGCTTTCCTTTTTTTTTTTTATTACTTTTTCGCTATTGACCTCAGATCTTCCTCTTTCGTCTTATCTCTTAAATGAAAATGTTCCTTGGCATTAGTCCTTCTAGTATTTCCTTCTTTTCTCCAGTCATGGCTTCTCTCCTGGCCACTTTCAACATTCTGACAATTGAGTGTCAAGTCTGGAGTTCTTCCAGACCCCTCCCTTTGGGGTTTTAGACTTGAATTTCTCAGTACCTTGTAAATGCCTCTTTTTGGATGCTTTCATGGCATTTTAGGTCAGAAATTCCATCCAAAAACATCTCCTTGTCATATTCCTGTCTGTTATGTTTGATAGTAACTGTATTTTTCCTGTCACTCAGGTTCAAATCCTCTAAGTCATATCTTATTTTTCTCCTTTCTTTCAGATTCCATAAGTAGTTCTAGTATTCTAGTTCTAATGAATCATATGCATGTCAACTTTCATTTCTCTGCTGTAATTTAAGGCTTATATTTTATTTTTGTTTTATTTATTTATTCTTTTGGTACTGGGGATCGATCTCCGGTTCTTGTGCTTGCAAGGCAGGCCGTGGAACCACTGAGCTAAATCCCCTGCCCAAGGCTTATGTTTTGAATATTAAAAACTTAAAATTTTTAAATGTTAAACTCTATTAGCCCTTCCATAGTCAACTTTATCTTCTAAAGCTTATATAGGATCATGAAACTTCACAGAAACCTTTAATGTACTGTTCATTTATAGAAAAATTACTTAAACTTAGGAAATTGACCATTATCTATAATTTGTTTTCTTCCTATATCTATAAATTCAGGAATTCCTACATCTTTCGCTGTACATCACTCACACCAATCTCCATATTGTGGCCCAAATGTACATTAACATTTCTGAATCTTCACTTCTATTATTTTTTTGTATGTGTAATGATCTCACTAAAGCACAGTTTCTGTTGTTGAAAAAAACCCTGAAGTTGTCATGGTGTTTTTACTAAAATATCTTTTCACTCCTTCCCCAGATACTACTCCACTGGTAGATGTAAATCTTTTTTTATCCCTGGACCCTTGCGATGTCATATTGGTCCTCTATTAAGGCACTGAACACAGAATATTTATGTTTATCCCCCCTTACTGTACTGTAAGATTGGTGCAGTCAGTGCCTTGCTCTTCTGTGTTGTTTATTCTGAATTTTCTCCAGTGTCTTTGCAAGTACCTAAATGGCTTTAAGCCGACTGTGAAACAGTGATTGATTACATAAGTGAATAAATGAACAGAGGATTCTCAATAAATATTTCTATCAAGTGGTAAAATTCTATGAAAACTCCTTCAATAAAATCACCTGATGCTTACTATAAAATCAAATGAATAATTACCATAACTTTTAAAGCCATACATTATATGAGTAAGGGAAAAATAATTTCAAATTGGCAGCTTTTCTTATTTACCAGGCAGAGTAGTGAATGAGTTCCTATCAGGGAGGAGAAAATGTTATTGCTAACTTCATTGTGGTATTCTACTGGCTCCCTACTAGTATCCTTTTCATAATCAAATGAAGAAAGATCAATCTAAATGGTTACGTAGGGAATAAAGATGGATCCAACACTGCAGGCTCATTTGGTTTTACCTGACAAATACCTTTCTAGCCCTTAGCTCTTGGACTCAAGAGAAACATTCAAATGCTTAAGAAACCTTTGCAGAAACATAATAGTATTCTATTCACCTGTATTCTAAAATTACTTCCTTACATCACACTCATACCTTATTCGGGACTAAAAACTAAAAACATTATAAATATGCAGAATGACACAGTGTATTTTCATATTTCTTTTCCATGAGCCATCAAATTATTTGGGACTCATTGAGATTATTTATCCAGAAAATAAGTAAAAATGTTGGCTTGGCATTGAGTCATTGATGTAATTATTTTTAAAGAAGCATGTCATTGACATAAATTTTAATTTTTTTTCAAATAATGTTGTCATTTTGCCCTGAAATATAATTTGGATGTAAATAATTTACTTCTCTGTGTATGTCCAAAGATTTCTATGTTTATTCCATTCCCCCAAACAGAGAAAATTTCTGATAACTTTGTATTAGCTTAAGGCTAAATATTTTCCCAACTACATTAAAAAAAAACCAAATTGGAGTTGTCAAGGCAATTACACTTCACTCTATGTTTCAGGTTTGGATTTTATCTAAAAGGACTTATGAGTCTCAATAACTACAGTAATGAAAACACTGAATTTATCAATTAAATTCTTCCCAAATTATATTAGAAAAATGTAGAGAAGTGGCCAAACATTTGGTTGTGGAAGGTATTTAGCTATGAGTAAAATAAAAAATGCAAATAAACTTTGCAAAAATAAACATGCAATATCATCCCTCCCGTGTATCTCAGAAACAGTCTGTTATGAGAATGCTGTTGAACTTGCAACTCCTCAGAACAATATTCCAACAGAGGGATCAGTTGGAAGCTCTTCATATAGCATCTGCTCTGTGTTTATAGATACATATGTAGACTGCTGAAAACCCTCCATGCACCATAAATGCAGGAAACTACACATCCAGAATGGTAATAAACTCATTGGGCGATGTATTCTCTAGAGTTTCAACCCCTTGCTTCAGCTGGCACAACTCTGCTAGATTTTTATTGCTGCAGAAAATATTAGATTGTTTGTGGCTTATGTAACTTTGGAGATAAACCAAGAAAGTATAAAGTGACAATAAAGAAAGGTAAAAACATAGGCACTGAGATTATTGTAATATTTTTAAATTACAGTCTCATAAAGAGGTACAACAGAAGCAAAAGCAGAATAAATGAGAATGAGTAAACAAATTGTTATCCACAGAAATTTAGCACCAAATACCCTCTTTGGGTAAGCTCATATGTATGAAGCATATTGCAGAAGCTACACATTGTACTATGAATGCTGTATGTTATAATTATTAATTAGAGGGCTGGGGATTTAGCTTAGTGGTATTGCACCTGCCTCTCAAGTGCAAGGTCCTGAGTTTGATCTCTGTTATATATAAAAAGTGTATATATATATATATAAATACACACACACATATATACAATTATTAATTAGAACTAGATTTCTTAATATAATAATCAGATAATGTTAAATTATACTTAATCATTAAAAACAATTTACTGGTGAAACCAGCACTTTCAAGACAAACAATTCAGTTAATTTAAATTAAGTTGATTTTTCTTACAAATACAAGATTCCAAATGAAATTAATTTCTAAATTGAAAGCAGTCAAGGGGATTTTCTCAGATTATGAAGAAAGCAGTTCAGGTGTGGGGAGGTGGTGAAAATGTATAATAAAGTCTGGCTGCTCTGGGGTGCAAAGCATCATTAACATGAGGTCAGATGGCCCGATGATCTCATCTCAGCATTAGGCACCCACCAAGTACCACTCATTAGTCACAGTTCTCTAGGAGAGGTGCCTATATCCATCTGTAACTAAAACCACTGGTAGACCTTTCCATCATTCACATTTTTAAGCACCAACACAATATAAAATAATTCTATAAATTCTCAAAAGAAAAACTTTCAGGAAGGACTTATGACTAAAATCATATAGAAGTTTCTGAAGAACCAAGATAAAGACAGAAAAGTTAAATGCATGGTGTTAGATGGTGATGGTGGAATGGAACCCTCTGCAACTCCCTCTGTGATGCCGCAAAGGGAATCTCTGACTCCCTATGAACATTTCAGTTCAAAGTGTGTCTTCTTTCATTTCATTTTGCTTTCTCTCATTCCTTCCCTCTGAATGAAAATTGCCATGATGCTATTTGCTATTTTACATCTGTACAGTGTGGCTAATGGGATATCATTTGTTTTTATTTTTATGGCAGTGCTTTGTGATTTTGTTGTCACTATTAACTCCCTGCTGGGGGGGGGGTATTGACTAGAATGAAAACTATGGCAAAGGGGGAAATATTAGCAAGCAACTTTTATTTTTATTTATTTATTTATTTTTTTAAATTTAAAAAAAAATTTTTTTTTTTTTTGGTACCAGGGATCGAACTCAGGTCCTTGAGCTTGCGCAGCAGGCAGCAAAACCACTGAGCTAAATTCCCGGTCCAGCAAGCAACTTTTATGATCAGCATCCTCTGAAGAACTTGAAATTGTTATAGAAAGAAGCAAGCCCAAATTATGGGCTTCATCAGATAAAACTTAGGCATGCCCTTCCTTGAAATAATAATCATTTTATGAATTTCAAAGTTAGGTTTTCCCAAAGATTTATCAGATCCACAAATTATATGGTTCTGTAAACGATGCCCATGTTTCTGCTTGGCACATAAAGATACAAAGCCCAGGATTTTAATGCATGTAGAAATTGAGGGATATGTTAAAAGTAATTCATATCCGTTTAAGACCTAGGCAAGGAATAGTTAAGTGGAATTATATTTAAAAGTTACAAAAATTAACAGCAGCTTAGTTTTTCTACCTACAAAGTATAGAAAAATACCAGCCATCCTCCTTACCATTCTGGTTCAGGTGAATGCAATAGTTATAAAATTACATATATATATAGGCCAAGGATTTGACTCAGTGGTAGAGTACTCGCTCAACCCTGAGCATATGCACACACACACACACACACACACACACACATTATGTATGTATTATAATTGCTATCTTTAAAATTTTTCACTTTTAAAAGATTGTTTCAAACAATAAAATTAATCCTACTGGGGAAACTTCCTTAATTTTTTAATAGTTCAACTACTTTTAGACCTTCAAACTATCTGTGTCATTTAAAAAATTGTGAATATAACATGAAATTTGTTTTCTTGGGTCCTAGATGACAACAGCAAAATTTTAACTCATTCTTCTTAAAACAGAATCAGAAAAAAATAGGAAAGCGTTTATTACACCAACTGATCAGAAGAATTAACACAATATCAAGCACCTGGACTTTGATGCTTACACTGACTCTCAAGTTTGGGGCTCATCATTTTTACCTGGTTCCTTATTTTTCTTGTGACTAAGAAACCATTCAGAACATGACCTAGTGGTAGAGATGCTCCATTCACGTATAGGGTTGTAGAACATCTTCATTACAGCATCAATTAAATTTTAATAAATAAGAGACTCTAGTAGGGTACTTAAGAGGTCTGGTTTCAGGGTGTGCTTGCTGCACAGCTGCAACCCAATTTTGAAATTGCAATTTCACCAGGTGTTTCATTTCCTTGTCCTCTACTCCAGATTAGCAACAGTGCGGTTCCAGGATGATAGAAGTAAACCAGAAGCTAGTTTCAACCATGGTCTAAACTACAAATTAAAAATAGTGTTTGCATCACAAAAATAGTGTTTGATCCTCTTTACAGGAAGGACCCACATAAAAAGAAAAAGAATCCTGCATAAATGGAGTCTGAGCTTCCAGATAAAAATAAGGATACACATGGCTCATTGTTGCTTCAGGCTTCTTGCTCTTTCAAAGGAATGAAAACAAAGAGGACATTTAGTTCTACCATCCTACCGCAATATGACATGAGATTTGAAAAAGGGATGAGAAAAGCTTTGGGTAAATAATTTAGCAAATAGGAGACAGGGGAAGGAGGAAGAGAAAGGGAGGAAGGAAAAGAGAAAGGGGATAAGGAGAGGGAGAAAATAGAGAAGGATATGGGGGAAGAAGAGGAGGAGCAGAAAGAAGAAAAGGTTGGAAGGAAATAGGAAGAGAGGCAAACCCAGACCAAATAACTCACTTGGCATTCCCCGCCCCCGGCTTCTTTCTTCGGAAGATGTTGAGGAAAGTGTTGGAGCGGCAGGGCAGCTTGCCATCGCCAACGTGCATGCGGACTACGTCAGAGGTGGTGAAGGCACTGCGGACATTCCTCTCGGGCTTGGCAATGATGATGTACATCTTGGGAGTGAACATGCACCCCAGGGCCACTGTTACACTGAGGCTCACTGCAAAGCAAGTGGTGATGATCTTGTAGTTGCTCCCAAAGTAAATGGGCACAAAAGCGAGCCAGATGATGCAGGTGGTGTACATGGTGAAGGCAATATATTTGGCCTCGTTGAAATTGGCGGGCACATTGCGGGTCTTGAAGGCGTAGTAAGTACAGCTCATAATGAGGAGTCCGTTGTAGCCCACGGGGGCCACCACACCCAAGTTGCTGGTGTTGCAGATGAGATAGACTTCCTTGATACTTGGGTAGGACAGGATGGGCATGGGGGGCTCCATGATGATCAAGGTCACCACCAGGGTCAGCTGCACACTAATCAGAATGGAGGCGATGATCATCTGGGCCCAGGCACTCATGAACCTAGGCTTCCGGGTGCAGATTTTCTTCTTGCTGCCTGCCAGGATGCGCGCAATGCGATTGGTCTTGGTCACTAGCGCCGAGTAGCACATGGCAGAGGAGAGGCCGACTAGCAGCCGCTGGAGGTAGCAGGATGTGGTGGTGGGCTTGGCGATGAGAGTGAAAGGGCACACGTACCCAAGGAAGATGCCAGCCAGGATGATGTAGCAGAGTTCGCGACTGGAGGATTTCACCACAGGTGTGTCTCGGTACAGCACAAAGATGAGTGTGACAAACAGGGTGACAAGGATGCCCAGGCAGGAAAAGGCGATGGCGATAATAGATTCAATGTTGCTCCATTCAAGGTAGCGCACGGGAATGGGTTCACACCCTGTGATGAGAAAAACCGTGTAACGTGAATCTGAGATGCTTGCTAAGCAACAATAATAGCGCTTGCTAGTTATCAGGAACAAAGCTACAGCGACAGCCCGCATGAAGGCCAGCATCACACAGTCAAAGGTGATCCATCGCCCTCCTGGACGATCATGTTTGTCCCCAAACCTCGTCTCATTTAAAGTGTCACGTGAGACAGAGTTGAACCTGAAAGTTACCTATTCTTTCAACACCAGCATTATAAATAGATGTTACTCTATAGACAGAATTGAGCTCTACATTTTAAGCGAAAGAAAGAAAAAAACCCTGCATTTCCAGTGAAAGTTAAGTGATCATAATGTAATAGAACAAGTGGGTATGAAATAAATTATACAGCCATTGTCCATAAGCAAGTACAGTTCTTAGATATGTATATGTTTGGCCAGCAGAGTAGTTTCAATGCAATTTTAGTCTTCCTTGTGTAGAGGATTCAGTATTCTCCTGTTCACAACGTAATTCTGTATTACACTTCGAATCCCCGCAGTCATGTTTCATCTGCATCTGGCACATGCAGGCCTTTGGGTTAGTCGTTTGTAATAGAGCGTCTAACACCAAAGAAAAAGGAAATCTCTCTTCACTCGTCTCTTGAAAGGAGACCAGTATTGTGTTCCTAAACACCTCGCTTCTGCTTTCCCTCTAAATGTAGAAGAAAATCTGTTTTGTATCTCAGAGTGAGAGAAAAACCCTTCAGGCTCTGGAGACAACCTCTTCACAGGAGTTTATATTTGAGCTGAGCCAGTATTTCCCAAAAGTGTGCGAGTAAAAGTGTTTCCAAACATTTAGGAAGACTCATTGTTCCATAGCTCTAATAGCAAGGAACCACCAGAACCGGTTTTATGCCTGTTCAGTCAACCAGCAATCATCCTTCTTGGAAGCACATTTGTGCATGCCAACCAGTAAGTGTTACCTTCACAGCTGATGGTCACCTGGCCGGATACACTCACTTCAATTACTGAGCCCCAGGCATCAACAATATGCCGCCTCATGGAGCATCACCGTTCCACAGATGATGTCAAGCAGCTCATGCTCTGGAAGCTTATCAATTCTTACACCTCACACTCTAAAATCCTCATACAAGAGGAACAGTCTCTTCTGCTCTGCTCAGAGAACATACATGGAACACAGCCATCCCTTGTGCTAGTAAGCAATACATTCAGCTTTCATATCTTGTTTTTGTTTTTGTTTTAATTTCACACACAGTTGTCCCTCAGTACCCATGGGAAATTGGTCCAAGTACCTGACTGGCACTGATCTCCAAATCTGCAGATGCTCAGGCCCTTCTATAAAATGGCATAGTATTTGTGTATAACCTACACACATCCTCATGTATGCTTTAAATCACCTCTGATTACTTATACTATCTAATACAATGTACATAGTAGTTGCACAGTATTTTTTGGGAAACAACAACAAGAAAAATGTCTGCCTGTGTTGGGTACAGACACAGCCATCATAGTCCAGCTACATAGAATAGGTTATTAAAAATAAAGCATTTTCCCTAATATTTTTCATCTATAGTTTTTTGAACCCACAGACACATAACCAGTAGATACAGCAGGCTGACTGTATTTTGTCTCACCATCTTTCAGATCTCTAGAGACTTCATCAAGATCCTTTGAACACCTTCACCATAATATTTCTGGAGATATTGTGGCCAATAGACTTCCTGGGCTCCTCCTGCCCAAACTCTGTTCAACCCTCACACTACACGTGAGTCAGTCTCAGCAGTGTGTTAGCCCTGGCTAATTTTGCTGAGCTCTTTTTGCTGAATGTATTTAATTATCCTAGGATTTGTAATTATGTTTGTCTTTGTATAAACATCTTTAAACTTAAGTCTTCATGAAAAGTAATTAACCTATCTTTATATTTAAGTGTTACAACCTTTGATTTTGAGGTGCTCCAGTTACCAACTAGACATAATTTTTTATAACGTTAACAAGCATTTCACTTTAGATTTACACAATTTGCTAAATAGTTTTTTCCATATCTGTGTATTCCTCTGGTGTTTTGTGTGTGTATATGTGTGTGTATCTATCCATACACTGTATTTCCTGTTGGAGGAAATCAGGTCTGAGTTTGAACTGTACGGTCTGTTTCTGTTCGTTGTATAAAGAAGTGGACCACTGAGATGAGATGGAGGTCTGGGCCATGTCTCATCCAAGCTGGCCCAGGGTACCATAGTTTAGAGGGAGAGAGGAAGATCTGTTGAAGTGGTGACCAGTTTATAAAAACTAATGACGCTCAGGTCCTTTAGAAAACCTTTGTAAGTTTACTTCTTATGTTTTAACTTTGTGAAAGGTCACTGTTTAGTGATTTTGTGGTGTTTTCCTATGATTCTTTTCTTTTGGGAATCTAAGACACTGTTCATAGACATACACTTTTGGCTGGCCTCGTTCTTCCCCATGTCAGGGGTTTGTCTATGTGGGTTGTGGGTTTCTTCCTCTTCCTGGAAGAACTTCTGCTTGAAATATAAAGTCTCACTTTAATCTTTTTTTTGGTTTGAAACAGAATCCGACTGTGTAGTTTAGGCTGCTCTCAAACTTACTATGCAAGCCAGACTTGCTTCAGACTTGCAACAGCCTCAGCCCCCCGAATGCTAGGATTATAGGTGTGTGCCATTTTTCTTGTTGTTGTTTCCCAAAAAATACTGTGCAACTACTATGTACATTGTATTAGATAGTATAAGTAATCAGAGGTGATTTAAAGCATACCTCCTGCCTCAGCCCCCTGAATGCTAGGATTATAGGTGTGTGCCACCACATCTGGCCTAACCCTAAATCTTTTTGTTTCTTTGATAAAGCCTGAATAGATGATACACAGATGACAGGTAGATAAATTGATAGATCTAGAATAACAATGCCCATTTAGTGGACTTTTGACAAAATAAATATGTTAAAATACTCTAGACAAATGTACCAAATAGTCAAGAGTCAGCTCTTTTAATTGGCATACCAAGGCTGTGAAGAAATATCAAATTCAAATGTAGCACTTATCCACGTTTTTGTAACCTCCGAAAAAATTACTGTTTCCATTTCTCTCATTTTGTATGGTAACTTTGTCTGACTTTCTAAATGAACTTCTCTGTCCTCAGAGGGTTCTTTATAAAAGAATACTACTTTTTAACATTTCTGCTCTAAGTCAGATGCATAGAATTTGAATTAAAATCCTGGTCGAAAGCTACATTAATAGCTATATTTAATGATTTCAGTAAACTTTGGGGATACAAGATGAATTGTGTGCTATTGAATTCATTATTTTTATTTGGTAGTGCCCTGCACTACAAAACTGTTCCCATTAATTAAATTAATTTTTCAAAAATAGCAAAAAGAGAAGATATGAATAATCCACCAATATTAAAATTTTAAAATCTCATCAACTTTGCTATATTCTATAAACTAGAAGACAGTATTACATAAGGCATTTTCAGAGTTTTTTCCTTTCATAAATATTCAAAATTGTAAACTAAATAAAGATAAAATGTAAACTTAAGGAAATTTTCAAATAGCTTGGGACTTGACTCAACAACTGATGTAGAAGAACATGTTCTCTTCTGCATATTGGTTGAGGTCTGAATTAGTGGAATAAAAGATATTAAAAGGTAAAATTACCACTTAAAATATGATATTTGACTAGATATTTCCACATGACTTAGAAAGTAAATAAGCTATTTAAATCAATATGATTATGAATCTTTAGATAAACCAATCAAAATAGCTTGTTTCCTATAGATAGGAAGCCTAGAGAAGACCATCTGTGGATACTGCAAACAGAAGTGTTATTTAAAGAACACTGGCCCAAACCCAGCAGGACAACTACTCAGAATCTGTCCAGTGACCTACCTCTCTGGGAGACAGCAACACCATGAATTCCCTGTGCTTCCTTTGAACTGCCAAGGGAAACAATATTTCTCTCAAGAGTAGCACTATTTATTGCTACTATTAATAGACTATCAGATAGGTTGGTTTATTAAAACTATTCAAACAGTGAAAATAATCCTATGTCTGAACTTATAACTGATACTTCGAGATTACTGAAAGAATATTTCTTGATTTTCTGTGATAATTCCCCCTTCACATTCAATAGATAGGATTTATTCCTGGACAAAATGAACAATAGTTCTTACACATGAGCAAATTATATAGCTGCTCTTAGATATGAAAAGTATACCTATACTGTGTACTTGTATATTTCAAGAAAATAGCTACTCTTCCAAAATCTCCATGGACAGAAAACCCTACAAAAATATGAAAGAAGATAGTGACAGAGCATGTAAGTGTCCAGATCGTTATAGGTATCTAGAGTATCATGAATCTTTCTTTCTGTACAAATATGAAAAAGCTATATCATTCAATGAAAATTTGCAACATGGATCATATTGAAGAACAATTTTCCAGTATGGTGGGAAGCTTCTAAGGGGATCTCCAATGATCCTCACCTCCTGGTATTTCTGTTTTGGGGTAATCTCCTCCTCTTGAATATGAACAGGGCCTGTAACTTGCTTCTAGGCTATAGAATACTGGATAGCAAAGTTGGTGGGATGTCATGTCCAACATTAGCTTATATAAGGTAATGAGTTGCTGGCTCTGATAACCTGTTGTGTTACTGTGGTCCACATGACAGAACTGAGGGCAGTTCCCACTCAACCACCTGCAAAATATTGAGGTTCTCAGTCCAACATCTTTTGAGGATTATATCCTTCCCATAATCACATAAATGATTCCTATTATACCAGACCCCAGACTTGTGAAGGTCACAAAGGAGACAGCCTTGTTAAACTGTAACCAAATTACTGATCCACAGACACTGAGTACGTGTTGTTTTAAGCCACTAGATTTGTGTTATTTTGTTATATATTAAGGGATAAATAATTCACCAAGTAAGCTCAATTCCTTAAATTATTAGAAAATGCTTGGATCCCTTGCCTTAAAGTAATCGCAGACATTTATCTAGTCAAAACATCTTTTAGGCTTTGTATGATGTACTTAAATCTAATGTTAACATATGTAATACATCCCTATTCCAAACAGAAACTGCCCAACAATGTCCATAGATTAATTAGTAATTGTGAATTATTGCTACTACTTCTTCCCGTTTGCTCTTTGCTGATTAACACTCATAATACAGAAACTTTACAATTGTTAATCAACAGGGACTCTCAAGATTATAATTTTGTGATTCAAAAAGTGTTTCTATTAAGAACAGAATTTTGAATACTCAAATACTAATTATTGACTTAATATTGTTTTTCATAAAGGCTTTATACTAAAAATAAAAAGGAAACTTCTAGGCTTAATAGACAATAAGGAGTTCAATCAGTATTATAAAATCCAAGACTTTATTCCAATCTAAGTTTTTCTAATAATTGAATTATGGCCTTTTCTATGGCATATCAAATTGTTAAATTAAAGAAGATACATATATAAATAACCCTTGGTTGGTAGGCTTTCAAAATAATTCATTTATTGACATTACGTGGAAACTTTTATTTTTGGCAGAACTGAAGATCAAATCTAGACCCTGCACATGCTAGAAAGTGTTTTACCACTGAACTACATCCTCATTCTGAGAAACATTTTGTCTTTATGTATTCTTTGAATATAAGCAAGATTATTAATTACTTGATGTCTTAATTTTACCTAAAATGATTATTGTTATAAAATTTGACTCACAGCCATAAAGGTACTATAGAAAGTATACATACAAGAATAGTTTAGAAACATAATAAAAATACTTTAAAGATACTTGTGCCAAACAAACTACTCTGACAAAAAGTCTTTAAACAAGGGGCTCATAAAATGGCAAAGGAATTTCATATTAATAAGAAATCCACAGAAACATTCAAGGATTTAATTACAGATATACAAAATCAGGCCAGAAGGTATTCTGAAAAAAAATCCCAGAATGATAATAATGTAAGATCTATAAAGATGATACGGGAAAATTAGAATGGCATCTGATAACACCAGGAAAACTATCCAAAGGACACTGGATAAAATCCTCATAAAAATTGAAGCATCTCATTCCAAGAGTGACAAATTGTCCACCAAATTAAAGATTAATGTGACACTATTCCCAGGATGGTAGCAGATGTGGTTATATCATGCTTCACTTGTAATTAAATTTAAAACAAAATGTAGATGAGCTAGGTGTGGTGTGCACATCTGTAATCCTAGCACTCAGGAGACTGAGACAGGAGGATTACTGTGAGTTCAAAACAAGTCTGAACTATGTAGAAAGACCCTGGCTCAAAAGAAAAAAAAAAGAACAAACAAAAAGTGTAGGGAGGGCATTGACTGCTAAAATTGCAAAAACGATCCTTTGACCATGTCCAAATGGATTGCATACAGTTGCCCCCCTCTATGATTTACAGATATGCTCTAGTTTTAATTGTGTGTTTATTTTCTGAAGAGGTTGAAACATTCCCCTGTTGAAAAGACACTATCTTCTGGATGACTAAATTATGATTAAACTTTGTATTTCTTAGCTAGAACGTTCCAATTTATGCATCTAGTGGCAGGGGGACATATCACTGGAACATTTACCCGTGAATTTAAGCTTTGTACAGCTATCTTCATCACTGCCAATCCTCTGCGGGAAAAAAAAGAAAACCTTAGTATCACTGAACATTATTCCCATTGATGATTTTTAACTGAGCTTCTACTGTGAGACTCTAAAATTAGTAGGTCCATGAAAGTCCTTTGGTAACCTGA